CAATGTGAAAGGCTAAGGCCATCAATGATATTATGGCTAAGGCCATCGCCGCCAACAGTCGACCTAGATTCGACTACGGCGAGTAAACGACTCGACGACAGTCGAAGTCGCCTACATGGCTAAGGCTACGGCCATCTCCAATGTATGAAAGGCTACGGCCATCTCCAATGTATGAAAGGCTACGGCCATCTCCAATGTATGAAAGGCTACGGCCATCTCCAATGTGAAAGGCTAAGGCCATCAATGATATTATGGCTAAGGCCATCGCCGCCAACAGTCGACCTAGATTCGACTACGGCGAGTAAACGACTCGACGACAGTCGAAGTCGCCTACATGGCTAAGGCTACGGCCATCTCCAATGTATGAAAGGCTACGGCCATCTCCAATGTATGAAAGGCTACGGCCATCTCCAATGTATGAAAGGCTACGACCATCTCCAATGTGAAAGGCTAAGGCCATCAATGATATTATGGCTAAGGCCATCGCCGCCAACAGTCGACATAGATTCGACTACGGCGAGTAAACGACTCGACGACAGTCGAAGTCGCCTACACGGCTAAGGCCATCAATTATATTATGGCTAAGGCCATCGCCGCCAACAGTCGACCTAGACTCGACTACGGCGAGTAAACGACTCGATGACAGTCAAAGTCGCCTACACGGCTAAGGCCATCAATTATATTATGGCTAAGGCCATCGCCGCCAAACAGTCGACCTAGATTCGACTAAGGTGAGTAAACGACTCGACGACAGTCGAAGTCGCCTACATGGCTAAGGCCATCAATTATATAATGGCTAAGGCCATCAATTATATAATGGCTAAGGCCATCGACGCCGATAAGTCGACCCAGCTCGACTATGACAGCGCGTAACTCGACGATAGTCGAAGTTGCGCACACGGCTAAAACCATCAACAAAACTAAGGCCGAAAATAAAAGATACAGAAAGAAAAGAACAACAACAAAAGTATAACTTCCATTATCATCCAAAAATGCATGTACAAAAGGACCCATTTACATCTCCAAATACAGCAAAACAAAATGAATACGAGTCCTAAGGGGCTTCGACATCCTGATCACCGCCTCTCGACGGATCGCCATCTCGTCCACCGCCGTCCTCTGCCTGATAGGCTGCAGAGATCCAAGAGCCGGATTCTAGACGGTTGACATCTTCGGAGTTATAGCCCGCCCGGTCTGGGGAATCAGAACTATACCCACAAGTTTCACGAGCGACACGGACTATGCGCCGTTGCTCTTGAACCTCCACCTCGGTGGCTCGACCCGCAGCTAAGAACTCCTCGAACACGACTAATCTGGCCTCGGCGTATACCCACATATCATGCGCCTCACAATGCGCATCCTCATCAGGCCTTGACGCAGCAGTCCGCTTGAGGGCTTCAATCTCAGCCGCCTTGGCATCGAGTTCGGAGGTCATGGCGGCAACCTTGATCCGCAAATCAGCAGCTTCCGCCGCTACCCCACGGCCAACCTCCAACTCTTCTTCTTTAGACTGGAGAAGAGTCTCCAGCTCAATATTCCGGGCCAGGGCGGCCATCAGCTGCTCATCGATCTGCTCTAACTCGGCCACCCTCCGTTTCAGCTGGGCCTCCGACTGCTCCAAACCCTCACGGAAAACCCGAAATTCCGGGTCCTGCTTGAGTAGGTCCGCCAGCGCTTGATGCTTGACTCGGCACCGCCGATATTTCTTTACCACCTTGTTAAAGGTGGCTGCCTTCCTTTGCGCTCGCCGCCCCCTCTCTATCTCCAAAATGAGAGTCTAAAAAAGAGGAAAAGGATGAAAGGCAAGTCAGCATGCATCAAAATTTATTTTACGATGCATGAAGAGAATCGAAAAATACCTGTAAGGCCGCACCGGCAACCCTCCGGGATAGTTCCCCGTCGCTAACCCCTTGTAACGTTTCACGCTCAGCGGCCGCACATAGCAGGGTCATATCCGCTGCGGCCTGCTCGCTGTGTTGCAACAGGTTATACCCCCCCGGGATCAGAATTCGACGGTTGGATCTACCTACCGTCATCCCTACACGGGCCGGACCCCGCGTTGACGCTTCTGCATCTGCCTGGGCGACCTCAGGGCCCGCCCTCTCGGCATCATCGTCCGCCTCCCCAACGGCAGCCGACGAGCTGCTCTCCGGAATGCGTGTTGACCTGGCATCGAGAACGACCCCCCTATGAGGAGCCGCCTCCCGGAACGGATGGCATCCGCCATAAAAACTGGCCTTGACTCCCGACGGGGCTCGCTCGCCCCCTCATCTGCCGTGGCTATCCCCTTGCCGGTTATCAACCGACGTCTTTTTCTTTCCGGCGTCTCCTCGCTCTTAGAAGTCTCCTCCACAGCCCGAGGGGATGGTGTCGAAGGAGTCGCTCCCCTCGCGGACGCCGCCACAGGCAGCGGTTGAGGAATCTCCGCGGCACCATCACTGGGCGAGCCGCAGGGAATGTATCCATCTTCAGAATCAGTACCCGCCCCAGGTAAGATGACGACGCTCTTTTTCTTCTTCTTAGGGGCGCTCCGACCTGCCAACGCGAATAAGTCATAACAAATACGTAGGGAATCCCCAAACCGTAGCCAAAGAATTACCTGACGGGCCGTACTGCCGAAGAAATGCAGCCCAGGTACGGCACTCCTCCGCATAGGGTATTATTCTTTCCACCCACGATTTAATGTCATCAACAAGCTGGGGTGGAGAAGCCCTCGCTGCGAATAAAAAAGAGGAAAGAAAAACAAAGGTCACTATGGCCGTATGGTCGAAGGCGCAAGCAGCACTAAAATCTACAAGTAGAAATACTTACGTTCTGGATTCCATCTTTCCGGGAACCCCTCGGGATTCGACACCAGGTGCTCCGTCCTGATGTAGAAATATTTACGCCAAAAGCGGCGGTTGGGCTTATCATCGGCTTTAACGACCAAGCCCTTTGCGCCACGACCTTTCAACTGCAGCATGGTACCCCTCAGGTAACCAGCGCTGAACAACTGTAAGAGGTGGTGGACCGAGACGCTGCACCCGGCCCTGGCCGCATAAGTGGTCATGATACGGCACACCTTCAAAGTATAGGGAGTGAGCTGGGCCGGACACACATTGTAAAAACGGCAAAGCTCCTCCACCAGAGGGTAGACTGGAAGGTCGTAACCGATCAAGAACGGGTACTCATAGAAGGTGCAATATCCAGGCCGGTGCACATTGGCATAATCCGTCCCGGCCGGAACCATTTCCACGTGGTCCGGAATATGGTGCGTCTCTCGCAGATCGTCTAAATGGGATTGTAGTAAAACGCTATGCTCCCAGGGAAGATCAGGGCTTTTAGTTGGAAAATCCCTGCGAACGTGCGTCTCCTTCGGAAGGACATTGTCTACGCTGAGAGGAACAAGGGCCTTCTCCGCCTTTTCCCCTTCACCACCGGAAGATGGCGGAACCCTAGACGGGGCATTATCTTTGGCCTTTTTATTATTCTGTCCGCGTTTTGTCATGATTATACTACTTGAGAAACGAAGCACTGGCGATAGGAAGTTCGGTTTCAACAGAAGTGGGAGAGTCCCTCACGAAATAACGGTTACAGGAAAGAAAGGCAAAGGAGTGTATCAGAAAATACTTTTCAGAGGCTTGAAAGTGGAATCAGATCAAACCTCTCTCATACTTATAAGGATAAGTTGCACAGGAATCGAAGGGTCATGATTCAAAACGTGCGCCGGAAACCAAAACGTCACTTCATCGTCTGAACCGCCTCGGGGGCAAATATAATGATGATGCATATAGGCGATGACATCATTCCAAAAAGGAAGTCACGCGTCAGCGGCTCAACAACGTCATATATTTCACTTCATTCATATCGCCCCTGGTCGAGGTCAAATTCTCCTAAGCCGAGGTTCACATTTCCGCCCGTCGAAGACGCCCACCGAACGCGTCTCCAACGAGCGGAGGGACTAACTGTATAGGGTCAAATTTGACCCTCAGTATCTCTACGCCAGTGGGTACGCCCAATGAGTGTACGCCGACCAACGTAGCGGGTACGACTCGGCCGTGAGGACAAAAGCGACATCGTTTAGAACTCAGCGTCTACACTAGGGAGACGTTACCTATCTTTGTAACTTTTTGATTCTTTCGAGGAATGTCTCCTATTATATAAAGGAGACCTCCACATTGTAAAAAGGGGATCTGATCTAATACAACTCTCTCATTTTTCTGGCTTTCTCTCTCTATATCTCTACTTCTAACGAAAATATCTTATTGGTAAACATTGTCACTTTGCAATATTAGATCTACAACACTATTATCATCTTTGCATCTCTAGGCTTATTATATTTGATTACGATTTACCCCTTTTCTATTTTTGATTGTTTTATCGCTTACAAAGTATATCGTTAACTTTTGAGCCAAACAATATTTATATTTTTTTTTCTTTTTTTGGCTGCTATAATGAAGTGTTGTTATAGAGGACATATATTATAACATAATTTAAGTGCGTTTCCAAGAAAAATATGACTTTGATAGTGAATGGTAAGCGTGTTATTACAGGTTTGCAATTTTAGTATAAATTACATTATTAGGATAACATTTTTTAAATCGTCGACTTAAAGAATCAATTATAATGATCCAGTCCATCTTCTTATATTTAAGTGAAATTAAACAGTGAATTACTTCAATAAAAGAATATGATTTTTCACCACGTCATCATGCTTAATTAATAAAATTTTATCAAATAAACTACTTACTCAATAAAAAATTATTACTATTAATATGTTTTAATAATTAATGAGTCTACTTCCAATTATTATTCTTAATAATTAGAAATGTTCTCTATCTAACGCCCAAAAAAGGGGAAAATTAAATAAAGCACACGTGCGAAGCACGCCTTTATGCAACAATAAAATAATAAAAATAATTAAAATCAAATGAGAGGGCCATACTCCTAAACGACAATCATGCCACGTAAACAAATCAAGAGCCGTGTATTCTATTCATCCAACGACTAAACCAACCACTTTAGTCCACGCTTAAAATCACAAACCTCTTTCCCAAGATTTAGGTACCACTACTGAATTCCCATCACCAATTTTCCGACCTTTTTTCCGTTCACCGGAAATCAACCTCCGACATCTTTTCCGGTGAACCCCACCTTCTTCCTGTTGACAGTACATTCATCTGTTCTGGTCCCCTATATGTGCACAAGTATATAACAATACATAATACACATAACCACAGACATATATTCACACCGAAGCTTCCTTTTTTATCTCCATCTTTCTCTTTCCCTCTTTCTTCTGCCCATTGCTCAAAAAACTCCATTTACATATATATTATTCACACTCTATAAATACTTGCTTTCTTCAATATTGAGTTTTCTTCTTCTTCTGCCTTTTCTTTCTCGACCAGCAGCCTTTATATGATCCTGATAATCAGTACAGTATATTGTTTTTCCTGAATCCTGTACTTAGGTTTCTGATTATTCTACTTAACGTGTAGTCCAATTCGTATTCTGTTTATTTTCGTCTCGAAATAAATAGGGTACCTATAACCTATTTAGTCGTTGCACTTTCTAAAACTGCAGACCTGTACAAGACCTCAAATTTCAATCATATATTTGTGGAATAGGATTGTTAGATCAATTTCTGAAACCATACAGTGAACAATTTGTTACTAGTAGAGTTGGTTTAGTTGTTTATATATACAGATGTCAACATCGTTGTGATTTGTGAAATGGTGTGAGTAGAGGTTGGGTTTCGATAAAAGTTGATAATGGCGTATAATCCAAGTCATATGTCACAAGAAATGGATATGCACCATTTCTCTGATGAAAATTCAGCAGTTTTACGGAGTATATTACCGGAACAGCTAGCTCAGTCCTCGCCGGACGTTAAACCGCTGGACCACCAGCAGCCGCCGACGTGGCTCAACAGCGCAATCCTCCGACAGGAAAGTCATTATACCGGTACCGGTGGTCGTGGTGCCGGTGAGAATTTCCTCAATTTGCACTCAAACTCGGAGTTGTCGGCGGCAGCTTCACAAGCCTCAAATCAGTGGCTATCGAGGTCGATTTTACAGAGGAACGTAAGCGATGTCAAGACATCCAATAATTCATCAGCCGTAATGGCCGCCGCGGATTTGAAGAACGACGACGGGAATAATAACAACGATAACGGGAACAACAACGCCGGCGGTCAGTTAACTGACAGTGAAGTCGTCGGTGGCGGCGGCGGCGGGACCGACGGAATTCTCAATTGGCAAAATGCGGGGTATAAAGCTGAAATTTTAGCACATCCCTTGTTTGAGCAGTTGTTATCAGCACACGTGGCGTGCTTGCGAATAGCGACGCCTGTGGATCAGTTGCCGAGAATTGATGCACAGCTGGCACAATCACAGCAAGTAGTAGCGAAATATTCCAGCCTTGGACAAAATATTGGTGATGATAAGGAACTTGATCAGTTTTTGGTAAGCTCTTCTTTCTTCTATTTTAACACATATGCAATTGCAGTAGAATCTTTTATTTGTATTTGCAGTGATAGACTCTTGTTTCTTTATAAGAATTAGGTTTCAAATTTTACTTTTTTCTGAATAACTCATCACAATTGAATCTGAAAAGTTTGTTTCTTGGTGTTTTATTGCTCTTTCAGATTTGTTTCTTCTTGCTTCTTGTATTTTATTGAATTAGGATTTCTGAGACTTGTCAGATCTCTTCTGTCTAACTTTAATGTTTTTACCCCATCTCCCAGTTGGTTTTTCAAAATTTGTTAGCTAAAGTTTTTTTTTTTTTTAAAAAAAAAAAATCTAAATTTAACCGGTAAAATTGTTGCGATGTGAGGTCACCGGTTCGAGCCGTGGAAACAGCCTCTTGCAGAAATACAGGAAAGGCTGCGTACATAGACCCTTGTGGTCCGGCCCTTCCCTGGACCCTGCGCATAGCGGGGGCTTGTTGCACCGGGCTGCTCTTTTAACGGTGCTGGAAAATGAAATTCAAACAATGGTTCTAAGTTCAAACTTGAAGTCAAGAAATCATGCTGCTGTGTAGTATTTATGAGTTGATATTTTAAAATTCTGAAATGAGGAGCTATTTTGATGAACATATAGGCTGGGTTTGATATCACAGGGAAAGAGTTCCAAATTCAAAGGTAAACTAGTACTAGCAGTAATTATCTTTGCTGTCCTTGCAACTGCTTCATTATTTTCAATCACTGGTTGGTTGCAGATGTAATAGTAGTAAATACTAACAAAGTCTTAGCTCATATTGTACTCTAAATAGTAAGACTGACTGAATAAAATGTCTAGTCTTAAAAGACTTGTCACCTGTTTTTTGTATTTACATAATTAAAGACAATGGCATGGGATCATTTACTGTGGCTCCTAGTTTTCTTTTTCAGAAGAGGTTGGAATTTCTTTTTGGAATTACTAGGGATAAAAGTAGGTGTCCAGTTTTCTAGAAACAGAAAACAAATGAGGCACCTGCTTCATCCAACTGCAGGAATCTCAAGTAATATGTTAACAATTCGACGATGTATATAAGCAAAATTTTTGAGAGAACTTAATTCAGCTTAAGTGGATATAGTCAGTAATTATTGCAGGCTGCTACCTGTAGAGCTTCTGATCGATATGCCCTAATGCTAATGGAAGAAGTAAATATTCTCTATTTGTACTTTATTCTCATTAAGAGGCTTCTAATTAGGTAATTTCTTTAACTCATCCGAAGGTTGATCAAAACAAGATCAGATGTTAAGCTTCAGCGTGAAAGGTTTCCTTGCATGCTCCATATGAGAATTATAACCTACTTAATCAATGGATTTGACTGCAGCATCTCCGTTTTCAAGAATAATAAAATACTATTGGTCATTCACTGCTTGCTGCTAGCACAAAAAAACGCTGTTGCAGTCATATGGGAAACTAATGTAATAATTATTTGACAGGACTATGCAATATTGATATTGATATGAAACACAAAGCCAAAGCTGAACATATGTTTTTTGTTTTTCCTGATCAGGAAAGTGGATAGATTAGTATCTTATGACTTATTTCTGCTTAGCTATGTAGATGTATTTGTTTTCTGGAATGTTGTGTTGGAGTCTCTTTGTTAACTTAAATGAGGAAATCTGGTAATGCAGATTAATTTGGGTTTTAATTAGATTACATCTGGTGGTTTTCTTGATTAAATTCTAGTGCTTGTTTCTTCCAATTTCATTGTTTCCTTTGTTTCTCTTCCTCTCTCTTCCCTGGCAAAGTGGATAATGTTTGCTTTAATTCAGGGTCAGGCTCTCATGGGAAGGAGAGCAATATGAAAAAGCATACCTTTTAAGCTTATTTATATTTGACCGAAGATATTGGGTTGTTTTTAACTTATTTGGTGCCAAGTTATATCTACTACTAATTTATAGAAATAACTCCTGTGGTAGCATTTTATTCTTGGCACTGTTTATGTAACTGACAAAACCAGCATTGTGGATCCTCGTACTGCATCCACTTAAATGTTGATATAAATGTTCAACAACAAATAATTTATTTGCCTTCTGGCCATCAGTGACGTGGTACATAGAGCAAAAGATATCAATTCTGATCTTTAATAGACAGAGATGTCCGGAAGATGACTGCCTTCCCTGTTTAAGAAAACAGTGCAATTTATCACCTAAAAGAGTAGCCTTCTTTTTGGCCAGGTCAGGACATAATTTTCACGGTGGTCTTCAATGCCTAAAAATATAAGCTTTTGGAAATCTAGATGTGGTTCGGTTGCTTATTAGGAAATTTAGTTCTTTAGGTTTAGGGTCTCCGCGAAATCAGCATATCCTAGGTTTCTATATCCTAGTCTAAGTGTGGAAACGTTAGGGCAGAGCAGAATCAATTAACAAATGAAATTTATAATCTTTCTGGCCGAGCAACACCTTTTTATATGGAGTAAAGAGTTCAGCCTGAGTGTCTGGAGCTTGTGTTATTCTTCTAATGATTGAAATAAAAAGAAACAAAATAATAACTTTCATGCGAATATTCCCTTGACGTTTACACTAGCTGCATCTTGCTCTCAGGGCAATATCTTTTATTATAAACCAAATCTGAAAATAGCTCGGTGCTAGAGCTTACTTTTACTCTCATTTTGTTTTGTAGACACATTACGTCCTGTTGCTTTGTTCCTTTAAAGAACAACTACAACAACATGTTCGTGTCCATGCAATGGAAGCAGTCATGGCTTGCTGGGAGATTGAGCAGTCATTGCAAAGCTTAACTGGTAAGCATCCATTATTCATTTTGGGGCATTTTCATGGTTACTATTTACATATGCCTATTGTGATTTACTGTTGTCGATTTAATATTTGCTCAATATGTGTTTGGAGAGTGAACATATATTGCATGTAAGTTCAGTCTGCCTTTTACCTCTGTTAGAAGTTGAGAAGGGTTGGGGGTAAGGAAAAGCAGTATGTGAACCTACTTCATATTTTTGACCTTGCATTCTCGATTATCATTTTTTACGTGCCTTTTTAGAACAGAAAAACTGTAGGATATAATTTCATGTCATTTCTTCAAATTTTAACAATTGATTTTCAGTGGCAGAAACTTTTGCCACTCTTTATTCATTGAGTTGGGTAAGTTCTTTGACATATATGTGTCTACTCTGCTAGAAGTATCAAACTAGACAGTTCTAACCTCTGTGGTTGGTTTCGGAAATCGCAAGCATGAAAATATAGTAGCAAACGATCATCACGTTGAGGTAAACTATTGAGTTCGAGTCTTCTCTCTGAATATTATCACGTACAATTTGAAGGAATTTTTTATTTGATGTTTTAAGCTTCAAAAAAGACTACTTAATATGTAAATTTTCTCATTCCAGTCACACAGTTGAGGAAGAAAAAAAAGGAAAGTAATTTATTATCTATAGTAAATTGGACTTCTTTCTTTGAAAGACATTACTTTTTACTCCAATTTGTTGATACTTCTTTGTCGCTTGAGGAACCCCAAATATTTGGGACCAAAAGCGGTTAGCGGTTCCCATTGAATAAGTTTCTTCGGCCTGAGTAGGGTTAAAAGCACGGAATGTATTTGCACCATCCCTTTCACCCTTAACTAGCTAACTTGATGGGACGTCAACAGCGGGAATGCCAAATGCAAGACCTGGACCTGGTTCACGCAGTCAAGCAGCAAAGACCTCTTTCTCTTCGGGAGCTTTCGTAACGACTATAAAGAATGGGTCAGACTTTCTTTTTGATGCTGAGATCACATAAAAACATAAACTTTGAGAAGTCGTAACAAGGTAGTCGTACTGGAAGGTGCGGCTGGATCACCTCCTTTTCAGGGAGAGCTAATGCTTGTTGGGTATTTTGGTTTGACACTGCTTCACACCCCCCCAAAAAAAGAAGGGAGCTACGGCTTCTTCTACATAGGCTCCGTAACTTCTGGAATTGAAAAAGGAAGCTTTTCCAAGCCCGAACAAGATCAAATTGACGAAAACTCATAAACGGCAGAAAATATGACCTTAATGTGTTTCCTTATTCAGTATGGTAGAATGCACTTCCCCTTTTCTCAATGACCATAAACAATTCTTAACCTTAGGACTTCTGCATGGCATCTAACTTATTAACATTTCACACATTTCTTCTTGTTTTATTTTCTTTTTTCGTTATCTGATAGAAGAGAGGTCTTTGATCTTCCTGTGATGTTGAAAGTTTGAAATTACTTCCTCTTAACCTTACCCTGACTATTATCTCTTTTATTTTTATCTTTTCCCCTAGACTTTTCGGGCTGACCTGACTTTGATACCTTGATAAAGAATGTTTGAATTTTTGACAATGAACTGTGTAATTTTTAGTCATGAACTGAAGTTAATATTCGTTCTTCATTCTGCTTATGCAGGAGTTTCTCCAGGAGAAGGTACAGGTGCTACAATGTCTGATGATGAAGATGACCAGGTGGATAGTGAAGCCAATTTGTTTGATGGAAGTTTAGACGCTCATGATGGCATGGGCTTTGGTCTTCCAACAGAGAGTGAGAGGTCATTGATGGAGCGTGTGAGGCAGGAGCTAAAGCATGAGCTGAAACAGGTAGAGTTTTGCTATGATATTTTTTGAGCTATTCTGGCCCCTATTGTTTTATCAAACTTTGTTCAACTCATCGGCCTCCTTCTCCTCTCTTCATAAATAGGGTTACAAGGAAAAACTTGTGGATATTAGGGAGGAAATTCTGCGAAAGAGAAGGGCAGGAAAACTCCCGGGCGATACTACCTCTGTCTTGAAAGCTTGGTGGCAATCACATGCGAAGTGGCCATACCCCACTGTAAGTTCTTAATTATCAATCTTCCATTCTGATTTTCTTCACCTATAAGACCAGATGGCATCCTTTTGTACATTTTGCACTTGTAGAAGTACAGAAATCACAGGAAAGTTTAATTCACAGAAACTGTAGCCTTAGTTTATAAGGTAAAGTCTGGAAATACATTTTTTTGTGCTGTGATCTTTCAAGAGAAATTAAGCTGCTAAGTATTTCGTCAACGAAGAGTAATCTGTAACGCATCTAGTGGCTTTCACTTGGTAGATCCAAAAGGAAAATGAGTTGATAAGGTCAACTTGGTGTGAGAAGTTTGAATAATTAGTCTATTGGCATAACTTTGTACGCACTGCTTGTTGCAATTATGCTCTTGCTGTACTTATAACCTTCTACTTTCTTTTGTGGTTAATTTGTACACTTGCAGGAGGAAGATAAAGCTAAACTGGTACAAGAAACAGGCCTTCAACTAAAGCAGATAAATAATTGGTTCATCAACCAAAGAAAAAGGAACTGGCACAGCAATCCTTCCTCTTCTACTACTTCGAAGAGCAAACGCAAAAGGTAATGTAAGTTAAGTATATATACAAGTTTCTTTTTTCGTAATAAATTGTAAGTGATTTCTGCTAACTTGATTCGAGACTTATCCAGGTGAAACTGCAAAAACTATCATACAAGAGAGAAGGTATAATCAACTTATTAACAAGCTTCCTTGGATATTTTTGCTCGTGCGTCCAGCTCAATTAGCATATGTGATATTGGTTACTATATAGTATATACAAAGAGGATCCTTGATTTGGCTGCATCCAAGGAGTGATTCACTTAAAACAACAGGTCAGTTATTTCTCAACTGCAGAATAACTGTTAAAAACAGGTGCTACTGCTTACATGATGAGCAAAGGCGCGCTAGTGGTTTATCGTATAGTCAGATGGGGAGGGATGATGATTAATATATATCAATCAGCTCCGCTTTAAGATCACAAAGTAGTTGGGATTGATATGAATCGTCTATATTCATTCTGCGTGGATTGAATGGGCGGAAAAGTCAGTGACTCATTGCTGATATTACAACATTTTTGTTACTATTTACAGTATTTTTGTATGGGTTAGATGTGGGGGTGTACAGTTGAATAAGCTCGGCTCCATCAATAACTTTTCTTGTAGCCATGTAAGATTGACAAAATGTGTAGGTTTTCTTATCGCTATAGTTGGCTCATATCATGTTTTGGTTTACAATGTGGAAAAAAAAGAAAAAAAGAATATTATGGTGGTGTTAATATTATGGATACAAAAATGTGCATGGAAGTTTATATATGCTGACTGAAATCGCTTAGGTTCAGAAATGATATTTTCCTGAACTGTTTTGGTAAGTTTAAGATGGAAAGTGGTAAGACAAGTAAAAGAAGGTAACTTATCAACCGAAATTGATAAATTTTAAATTTTTAATAGTTTTTGCAAACAACCAAATGTTAATAAAGAATCACACGCCTATATTTGCTAATTTAATATGTTTAAATGTAAAATGAATCGAAAATATGCTATCTTTTCTCAACTTTGATATGTAGAGGTATTGATCTAGTTTCCCTCTAGTTTTTGTATTTTCCTTTGTCTAAATAAACATAAACTGGTTCTTTAAAAAAAATATTAACTAGCAACGAAAAATAGAGTGTCTGAGTGAGATTTAAAATCTTTTTTTTTTTCGGGCAACTACATAAGACTGTTATTCCTGAATGATAAAGAAGAAACATTCTTTAAAGAAGATGAAAATCTATATATACATTGAACATGTCATATGGTGAGTCTCGGACTTCACGGTGTGGGATATTTTTTTTTTTATACGGTATGAGATATTACTGGGTATGTTGTTGTTGTATGTCATACAGAGAGTAAGCCATATGTCACAACCTTTTACTTTCTTCTTGGTGAACACAAAAACATGGCCATACTAAGAAAAAAGTTCCTCGAGTTCGAGCAAATGCAATGTTTAACATTGCAGACAAAAAAAAAAGTTAGCATATATACAATCTGCCCATACACCATTAACGAAGATAAAATCCACATATATGGGGAGTAAGTACCACTATAAGTAACGTGGCGGGATAGATGGATCTCTGCACATTTAATTAAATATCTCGAGTTCGAACCTTGAAAAAGAAAAACTTCCTGATAGGAAGTATTTTCATTTTGGATGAGTCATACGTAACGCGAATCTGAATAAGTCAAGTTAGTGAATTCTAAATGCGAGATGGTTAAATAAATAAAACATTATTTTCAGTCTCGTGATGTTTGAAAAAAGGGAATCTAAAAACAAGTGATCCGATATATCAACGCTTTCTCTTCATTTCTTAAACTTTTCCTTTATCTAACAGTAGAATAATTACCCATATAAAACAGAAATGAATACCGTTTTTCAGAATTTTTTAGGAGCTTATCACCTTATTGTTGCCATTATAGCAAAGCCTTGTCATTCTTATTTCCCACCTTTCTTTTGTTGCTTTGAAATACTAGTATATGTTATCCCATTCCAAATTGAATATTGAATATCTCACGTTGACTATGAGTCTATGAGTTATGGAACTACAAATGTTTCACACTCGTTTTGTTACGAATATTTGGAGCTTCATAGACTACAACGGATGAGATAAACTTATTAATCTATCGGCTCATGAACCCTAGCAATGCTCATTCATGTAAATACATTAGTTGAGACGTATTCATAATTTTAAACTAGTGATTAATTAATTTTTAAGTATCATTGTACAAAATTAGTCTAGATATTTATTATTTAAGAAAATTCAATTACCCAACAACAACAAACCCAATGTAATCTCACAAAGTGAGGAATGAAGTGTACGCATACCTTACCCCTATTTTACGAAGATAGATCTAGAGAGTGCTTCAGATAGACCCCTGGCTCAAGCAAAAAACGAAGAAGAAGCATAAACAAAGAAAATTCAACTATGCGTATATATATATATATATATATATATATATATATATATATATATATATATATATATATATATATATATATATATAGATATATGTACAATTGAATGCGCAAGTGAGTCAACAATATCTGCCATAAAGCTACATCCGCCCCTGATTATACCGCAAAATGGAAAACCTAATTAAAACTTCCCTACTTACTATATTTGGTAATTTTGAATAGTAAAATAGGAGAATACATCATCAACGAATGGTTTGACGAAGTGGAGCTGGAAAACGAGAAGCAAAATGAGCATAATTTGTACCATCTGTTTCTCTATAATCACCATTATCAAAATTATATGCATAGCTTTTTGGATCATAATTAAGGGAAGCCCTCCTTTTTTGTTTGCCACTAATATAATTCGAACGTATAATCATGAAAATCCTCTTCTTAGCCGCTACTAATATCTTCGACTTTAGCATGTTTTCTTTAATCCCTTTCAATACATCTTTTTTCCTCTACTTCTGAAACTAAGCTGCTGTATTAATGTAAAACATCCATCTTCTTGCATGGTAAAAACTGCAGATTTTTCTGCTCAATTATTGCCTTTTTTCTTCTTCTGTTATATATGTAGGAATTTTGGCTTGTACGAGCAGTGGAACTCTAGGGTTCTTATAGGAAAGTGGATGGGGCAGTGAATATTACTCTATAATTCCTTTTCCAATTCGGACTTGGTTTGCACACAACAGACTGCACTCGTTTTTTTTTTTTTTTTTTAATATTTTATTTAAATAAAATACACATTAATTGCTTTACAAATTTCAAAGTTTTCCGTGTGTATTATTAAGCAACTTGTTTAAATTATTACCTTAATTTCCATATTCAACCACGCCGCAAGTTGTTGGGCACGTTGGTTACCAATAATATGAAATAATCTCGGTATAAAATTCAATATTATTTTATTAATTCGTAAAAAAAAAAGAAAAGAAGGTCAAGGTTAAAATAAATTATAGACAACAATTATCCAAGTTTATTGATTTTAAAACCGAACACAAGTTTTAGATTATACATCCTATATACCTTTGCAATAAACAAAATAAATCATAAGTACTAAATAATCCAAGGATTATTAGTCCAAATATAACAATTCTGGTCTGCATTATAATCCCAACATCATTGTTTGTGCCAACCAAACTACCGGTGTACCTACTTCCTTCCGGGTAAAAACAAAGGTAAAAAAATGTATGTGTTTGAACAGTAATTTTGAGAATCGCTAATGAAAGGTTTCATTAATTAGTTACATACATAACCATGGAGTAATAAGGTTTAATTTTCTAGTATATATAACAACAGAAATGTAATCACCAAATCTAACCTCCTGTAAATTGGACCGACGAGCGTGAACGTACCATCAATGTTGTTTCCTCTTCTAAACTCCTTTTACCTTGTTGTGCGAGGCGTTTAGAGATGGATTCAGAATTTAAAACAGCGAGTGGACCATTTGATAAGCTTTAATAAATTTTATATATATATATATATACACTTTGCGTCCGATGCCGTAATTTTACGTGCACCCACTGTTTCTATGTTGGATTTGCGTCTATTGTACCTCAATAGCTGTTTTTTGCCTCTGTTATAATGCCATTGTTTATTTCAGACATTGGCATTTCAAGACTTCTTCTCACCTCTTCTATGGCTCGTGTCCTTTCATTTGATGGCAATTTAAAGCTTTTACTCTTCATCTCTGGCCTTGACATTGTAACTTTTGGCAATGTCAACTCATCCATATTATTATTATTATTATTATTATTATTATCTTGTCTTAATATATTGTTTTTTGGCATTTTCCCTTTGGAAGGAGGAGATAATGGCAATCTTGCTGCAAAATTCCTTGCAGGAAAATCCTCATAATCATCAAATGATGTCTCATCATCTTCAAAATTCATAGCATAACTAAGGGGATCATAGCTAAAATCTGCTGACACGTGGCGACGTTGTCTACCCATACGATGAATGAAACTCTTACATTTTCCTCTAATCTCTGGCAAATTATTATGATCATGTGTTGTTTTGTTACGAAACCAACATGACGATAACTTGCTTGGACTTGATTCAAAAAGATCTGAACGACGATGACTATTGAAACAACATGATAAACTCGAGGATGTTTTACCTCGTCTTGTCCTTAAAGATGAGGTATCATGTTCATTCTCCATTGACATGAAAAAAATTGTTGTGTGACCTTCCTAAGGAAAAGGGAAAATGCAACTTTAATTTCAAGCAAAGATGAAGGGGAAAAAGCTTAGAAGTTGAAAGAAGAAGAGGGTGATGGCGAATATTGAAGATGAATATTGCATGCAAGCTTGGTTGAAGTTTTAATTGGTTGAAAAAACATACTCAACATTTGGCTGGTTACACGTAAATTAAGGGTAAAAAGGGTGAGAAATTAGAAAATTACTCTTAACATATTTTGTTTGCTAAATTTTCTAACCAAAGTAAAATGAAATAGCAAAAAGGTATTATATTCCCAATAAAAATATTGCAAGCGATTTTAATAGATCTAATTAGTAAGAATTTGAAGAGAAAAAAAAGTAGACAATGCTGAACTAATAGTAGACTGATACTCAAAACATTGGCCGGTAATTGTCACGACCCAAAATCCATGCCGGACTAATAGTAGACTGATACTCAAAACATTGGCTGATAATTGTCACGACCCGAAATCCAACTAGCCGACACCTAACCCAACCCGCTAGGTTAGCCAATTAACAACTATCCAATTCAATGAGATTTATTAAGAGAAGAAATGATATATAATACAACTGCTTTTATACAAAGATTTCTCAAGGACCGGTAGTACAAATCATGAGCTTCTAAAATTTAGATGTTTACAAGGCTGAACTGAAATAAGTACAACAACTGTTTGAATGTAAATGAACAGAATTCGAATCTAATGCTACCAAGGACAAGTGATAGCCATAACTGGAACGCAGGTACATCTTCAGGTCCAGCTCTTGTCGTATGCAGCAACATCAGCATCCAACATCTGCATGCAAGGTGCAGAAGTGTAGTATGAGTACAACCGACCCCATGTACTCAATAAGTAACAAACCTAACCTTAGGTTGAAAGTAGTGACGAGCTGGGACATGGGTCAGGGTCCAACTCCAATAAACGGCCACAATTCATAACAATATAATAAAAAATGGTATAAGAAAATAACTCAGAGATAAGATGCTCAACTCGTTCACAGTTACGGAAAAATAGACATGCTTTTCAAGTATAA